AGGCATGTAGATATACATCTATGCAGTTAGTATACTTCTATATGTCAGCTTGTGTTAGCCTTGTCAGATTTCTAGATTGTATAGTTCATATCAGTTATGCTTATGCTTGTTTAGTTTATCCGTTTATATTCATGATTACTAAATTATCAGTAAGTTTAATGATGATCGACACTTAGTGTCGATTATCCATCGCGGTGCTCGGCTGGGTCGTGATAGGTTTAATCCCTAGTGGAAAGGGTATGTGCGTTTTAGGTTGTGCTCTGCTAGGATGTGGGTGATGATTGGTGATCTGTGGTGTAGAAAGTGAAGTAGAAATGGTAATTGATATAATTTATCTCCTGTTGTCCCTTAATACAGTTCCCTACCTCATCCTGTAAGGACAAGATCTTGTTTCTTCTTCTCCTATTAAGGGTGGAGGTATGAAAGAATCTAGTATTAGCATCCCTTTCCATAAGCTATTTGATCCTAGATTTGGTTTTCCAGAATTCCTCCTCACTATTCAGGATAGATGGGTATTATTCTAATAGCTAACCCGCTAGGTTCTGGAGGAAGAAGATAAAAGGGTAAGCTCTAGATTTTTGGATGCCTCCTAGCCTAGCCAAGATGTGCTTCTTCTTGTGGAAGATGTTGCCAAAAACTGTTATGTTCCAAGTGGAGACTTGAGCTTGAAACTAGGCAGTTTCCATTTCTAGACTACAACTCCCCTCATAAGTCTGCTGGACCACATTAGAGAAGGAGGAGTGGCTACACCACATGGGTTCAAACCTAAAGGGCCTAGATGATGTGCTATAGGGATTATGCCACAACTTGACTAACATTAGGCAGTGGTCAGAGTGGGTTCTAGGGAGTAGGGGTGGGCATAATACTGGCCGAATCGAAAAAACCGACCAAACCATAAATTTTGGTTTTTTAGTGTTGGTTTAATCGATTATTCGATCGGTATGCGATTTATAAATTATTAAATTTCATATTCAGTGCGGTTAACGATTTTGGTGTTTCAATTTTCGGTTAAACCGAAAAACTGAAGTTTTGGCTAAAACTTTAGATGTTTGTTTCTTTGGTTTAAGCAAAACAACTTGATCATCATATTAAGCAGTATCTACTTGGTCATCTTTCCTTCTGAAACTTGTTTTAGTAATGGCGTGACCAACTTTTTTGCTAACACTCATTATTTTCATAGCATCTCAATACTCATCATCCTATTCCTGGCCATATTTCTGCTAGCAATAATAAGCCGAATGTTCAAATACGTCACCCATGTTATTCTTTTTATTGATTTGAAGTGATAACCTGTGATGATAATGATCCACAAGTTCTGCTTAAATACTAACACTGAATTTCATTTTTGATCAAAGAAAACAACTAGAGTGTTCATTTCGAGAGTGCCAAACTGCCAACTAGAAATAGTGAAAGAATTTGCTACAATTAAAGATCCGCAATCTATATTGGATATAAAAATCTTGAACCGTTAATAACCAAAAAACTAAATCGGAAATAACCGAACCTAACCTAACCTAACCTTGAAAAAACTGCATCGAACCGTAAATACTTTGGTTTGGTTTGGTTATTAATATTACTAAATCGAAAACCGATAAATCGAACCGTACTTTCATACTAACTGACCGAATTGACTGACGCTCACCCCTACTAGGGAGGTGGATTATTGTACTAGAGGGATATTCATGGATCCAAGTGTCATTTGCAAAATACTTATCTAGTCTCTCCAGGATTAATCGGCTTCTATTTCTATACCTCATATTAGTCGAGGTATACTTACTTCCTTTAAAATCCAAGTTAATTAATTTGCAATGGTTGATACACTACCAGAATAAGTTAGCTCTTGGGGAAGAGATGTAATTTTTCCCCTGCTTGTCTCTGGCCCTTAGGACTACATTGAAGTCCCCGCCCACCAACCAACTCCCATTATAGTTATTAGGTATAACTCTAAGTTGGTTCCAAAAGTTCCTCCTATTGGCATAAGTATTGCTAGCATAAACAATAGTAAAAAGCCAAGGGTTGGAAAAGGGGGTTACCTTGACCATGACATTGATGCCCCAAGGAGTGGTGGAGACCTCTTCAATCTTCAGAATTTCATCCTTCCACATGATCATAATGCCTCATGACAAACCCACTGTTGGGTTTTTAATTTGGCTAGAAAATCCCAATTCCTAGATCGGATGCTTGTTTTAGTCATCCTGGTTTCCAAGAGAACAAACATTATAGGTTTGTATAGTTTGACCATTTATGCATAATATCTCCTAAATTCCCCACAGTTGCCCCCCTAACATTCCAAATTATGAAGTTCATTAACAGTTTGGGGTTGGTGGGTGGCTTCCTCTTTAGGCATTTGGTTTTTCCCTTCACTGATGGCCCTTCCTGATTCTCCTTTCGAGGAGCCTGGGTGATTGTCTGGTCCATTGCTGGGTTTAGTTTCACAGCTGAGTCTCTTGAGTCTTGTTCTAAGACTAGCCTTAGACTTACCCCGAAAATTACCATAATTCTTGGGCATTGTACGATAAGCATTTCTCCTCCAGGCCCTTTGAACTCTATTAGTTCCGCTTATTGAAAGAACATTTCTTTTGATTTGGGCACTCCCATTTCTACTATCATTGCCTACAATTCTGTGTTGGATGCCTCTAAGTGCTCATGGACATTTTTCGACCTGCCATCTGGGTTGCCTTTGATGGTGGAGTCATTGTCCATGCTGGTGTCCATGAGGAGAAGGGTGAGCTGGGAATCCCCTCTCTTGGGAAGACTAGTGGGAAATAGGGGAGGGTGTAGCTTATCTACTCTATGAGTGTGTTTAGTTGGTTTGTTGACAATGTCTGCTGGCTCAGGGCTACTTGGTCTTGCATCAATGTACTCTAGCCAACCATAGTTGATGGCCATAATTTAGCATTGCATGGTTTATAATGGGGGGTTTGGATGACCACTGTAATCGGCATTGATCTGATTGTGAAAGTTAAAGGGAATGCAGACCCTTGTAGAGCCATCTCCAGCCATAAGGTTGGAATGTGTTCTAAGGGCAATGGTGCCGATGTCAGAAGGACATAGACTGGTTCGCCTCCTTGGTTCTACATTTGGGCATTGGAGGTCCTGTTGTTTGGGTTGTTCTCCATTTTTGGTATTTGGATTGACAGTGAGGTTGTCTTCTCTTGTCATGTCCTAGTTAGTATTTAAGTCATCTCCCCTTTCAGTTGGTTTCTGTGCATGAAAATCCTCCATCATTTGAAATCTTTGGGAGATGACGATGTTAGTCAAATCACTGAAGAGAAATGATGAGGGGAAACATGGGGCATAAGAGTTTTTAAGTGAGCATTTTACTCAGAGAAGTTAAATCCCTTACCCCTTTCCCAGTTTTGGTAGTATTTTCCTTGGATTTTAGCGCATGTGTGGCCCCCACCAATTGCCTTATATTAGGGTGGATTGGTACCATTTTGGGATGGAATCGGGTGAGATACACTTACCTAATGTAGGTGCATTTTTTTGGTCTTAGGGTGCGTGTGTGACAGTTGATGCTATGTGTTGTAAAGGAGTGTGTCTGGTGTATAGTCTATTTTGGGCACGGATTATAGCACATCTTCGAGATATTCAGTGGCCTAATTACATGTTCCTTAGGCCCAATTGACCTTTGCTGATAATGTTGTTGGGAGTTTGACTGTTGTGGCCCAGGTAAGTTATATTGGGCCTGTTTAATTGGGCCCGTCTGCTTCACAGTCCTTGTGCCCCCTCTCCGATGTTTCCAAGAACGACGAACTTACCTGAATGTGGTGCGTATATCCATCTTTTCGCTCTGATGTCCGTTGCCCCCGGTTGTCTGTGCTCTTCTACCTTTCCCTTACGTCGTTCTCTCTGTGGGAATTCCACAACTTTCCAATCCCATTCCTCCTGCGCACATTGGATCGACATCGATGGCCCTGCCTTCTCCTGTGTCCCCAACGATGACTATAGTAGGCATTTTCTAGAAAGGTGGCCGATTTGCCCACACCTTTTGCATAGTATGCCCTCCCCTCATACTCGATTGGTTGTCCGTGTTCTCCGATTATCACATCGTTTTGGAAGGGTACCTCAATAGGCATTTGGATACAGATCCATGCATATCTACCTCTTAGGGTGGCAGAGGTACACATATCTATCTTCAATAGTTTGCCTATCCTCCTCCCCACCTTTTCTAGGATTTTCCCATCGTAGCATTCAATAGGCAGTTGAGGCAGCCAAATCCAAATGGTCGTGGCTTGGATTTTTGAATCCGTCGGCACAAAATTTGGCTCCCAGTTTGTGACTGAAAGAAAGTGTCCCATGATGAACCATAAACCTTTGTGTAATGCATTCTTCATGTTCTCCTCTTTCTCAAATTTGATGATGAAAATTTTTTAGCCCAGATCTATGAGAATCAGTTGTTCATTAGGGTTCCATAGGTGTTATAACTTAAATTTTAGGATATGGTACGAAACTTTTTTTTTCAAAGACCTTAATAATAATTGAGAATCTCCGAGAATGGTAGATTCTAATTTTTGCTCATGACTTAGGATGATAGGCTTGAAAATTTCCTCTATCATAGTTAATTCAGGCATTGCTTCCATTTGGTGGTACTGGGAATGATACACACTTGACTTTGTCAAATATTTTTTCGATAGGTTTTCCTTGAAGGTATTCTTTTTATGTGTTGTTTCAACTTCCATTAATGATGAGCTAATGTCCGGCGGGTGGGGGGTTCAGTATCGGTGGTGCTCTTGGGCCCTGGGCAGGGGGTGGGGATGATGTCATCTTAGGGGGATGAAAAATAATTGTAAAGAGAAAAATCAACAAACTCTCTTACAAAGTTAAGCTCTTTAACTCTCCATATGTATAATAATGTTTTGAGCTAATATTTATAATTCTTATATTTTATCTTTTCTTCTATTTTTTAGCTTAAATATTGGATTTGTTATAATTTTTAAGTGTACAACAACAACAATAATAATATGCCGTATAATGAGGTCGGGGACCTTTGCCTCTACCTCCAAGAGTACACCCGCTACAACCTTTGGTTGTACAAGGATTTTTATTTCATATCCAACCCGGGGTTACTGTGAGTTCATTACGTGACCGATCGTATTCAGAATTCAGAAGGCTTTTCTTTGCACCCTTTGTAATATTAGTTTTTGACAAGCAGTTTTCTTGGTGCAAGAGAGGTGGACACTACACCACTCAAGCAACTCTCTATTCTCTCTCTTACTCTAGAAATCCTTTGTCCAGGTACCTTTTTCTATAGCTTCCTTACTTCAATTTTGGGTTTTTTTTTTTGTTAGCGGTGGACAAAAGTTTAAATCCTTATCTGTCTTTTTATTGTTTTATAGTGGAAAAGTCTAATTCATGTTTGAGTTAAATATTACTGCTGTTAATTTTGAACTGGGGTTTCCTTGTTTTTGTGTTCTTTCTTGTTTTTTGTGGGTTTTCCCCCTTCTTTCCAGCTGCAAAGTCGCTTGCTTTCCTTATTACTTTATTGTTTCTATGTATTTTTAATTTTGAAGGTGGAACATTTGAATAACACATGCTATAGATCTTGCCTGGTAACATGTTCTTAAGTTTTTCTTTTAAAGTTACGTTTTTCGCTATGAAATACGATTTGGAAAGTAGAATTGCAAATTGTTTGCCCTCGGACCCTTGTTTTAGTAAGGTAAAAAATTGTGGAGTAGCTGAGGAGGTGAAAGTTGATATATGCTAGTAAAAAGCCTCTTTCAGGTTCTTGTTAATTTAGGGAAAGAAAGAAAATTTGAAGCTTTAATGATTTTAATTTGTCATTTACTAAGTAAAATGCTCAAATAATGCAGCTGGATTAGGACTGTGTATAAATGTATATAGATTTCGATGGCGTCAATGCAAGATTTGGTGGAGCACGCCTTGCTGATCTCAAATGTTGTTGAATGACATGCTTTGACTTAACTAACTTGGCGGGCTGACGTCAGGATGGATTTTAGAATATTTCGGCTGCAGTCCTACTGCCATTACGATTGAAACATCAATGTAGGTTTGAGCCTGAGCAATATGCATTTTCCACCTGCTCTAGGCTAAAATTGATTTGCATGGCATATACTTTAGTGTCGTCTTTGATCTCTTATCTGGGCTATGCATACAGTATCTAGGCTTTTCTTTGTTTAGATAGTTTCGGGATGATCTAATTTCTAGTGATATTCATCACCAAAAAAAGAATATGATTTGAGTTCTGGTGAATTTACGGGCACACCAATTGGTTGCTGATTTTCTTTATTCTATTTATCTTTTCTGCCGTCTTTATCTGTCCTTCTATCGATCTAATGTCTTAACTTATCCATGAAAATAAATTTACTTTTTTTGTAACTATTGTGCTTAAATTCCTCGCAATTTCTTTACTTTTTTCAGTAAGGTGGATATACCAACTAGAGATAAAGTTTCTCCATCTTGTTCATTAACTTGGTGCGATTGGTATTCCTCCATCAAATGATACTTTTAATCAGTTCTCATAAATTGCCTATTTAATTTACGTGTTGCATGTAAAATTTCCCACCTTTTTTTTTGGTTTTGGTGTGTAGCAGACTGGCGCTGTCTGAGTTTGATTGTTCTGTGTCTAAAGCAGGCATAAAGTTGAATCATTATGTTTGGACGGGCCCCAAGAAGGAGTGACAACTCCAAGTACTATGAGGTTCTTGGTGTATCAAAAAGTGCCAGTCAAGATGAACTTAAGAAGGCATATAGGAAAGCTGCTATAAGAAATCACCCTGACAAGGGTGGTGACCCTGAGAAAGTGAGTTGCATATCCTACATATGCAAGTAGAATCCTCTGCATATTGCTGTTACAGATATTTCACGTCAATACCAATGGAACCCTTTGATTCTGAGGCTCTGCATGCTTTTTTTTCTGTTGAGATTTGATAATGGTGGTGTCCGAGCCAGCTCGCGCGCACTCTGCATGCTTTTTAAGGCAGTTTCCACTCAAGCCGTCAATAAAATCGAGCTAGTATTGTATCATGAGAGTACGCTGGCACATAGGTCTTTACTTTACGCCCTTTTTGATTATGATGTGTCATGAATGTATGAACCTGCCAATATGTGATCGAAGAAGCACCAAGTGGAAGGGAGCATTTCTGGTCTTTTGCGTCTTGTCTTATACTTATGTCCGTTTTCTATCTTCTCAGTTCAAGGAGTTGGCTCAGGCATATGAAGTTCTAAGTGATCCAGAGAAGAGAGAAACTTATGATCAGTACGGTGAAGATGCCCTTAAAGAAGGAATGGGAAGCAGTGGTGGCGGTGTTCACGATCACTTTGACATATTTGAATCATTCTTTGGTGGTGGGTCCTTTGGGGGTAAGACTCTCTTTCTCTCTCTCTCTCTCTCTGATGGTAGATAGAAAGAGCCACCTGCTTGGGAGTTGACTCCATTTTATATATTTTATATTCTGTTGGATGGCATATTTATTTGGCCTTGGTTGTTTTAGGCGGCGGCAGCCGCTTCAGAGCTAGCAGACAGAAACAAGGTGAAGATGTAGTGCATACCCTTAGGGTTTCTCTGGAAGACTTGTATAATGGAACTACAAAGAAGCTCTCTCTTTCCCGGAATAGATTGTGTTCCAAGTGTAACGGGTATTTTCTCTCTGTGATTATTCTGAATTTATCTTTTGCCGATGGTCATATATTGCTTAGATGACCAAGAATTCAATGTAGTGTATTGAGTTGAATGATGAGATTTCTCTTTTGAATTCAAATTGTTCTCATTAAGGCTGAGAATCTATGCTGAGTGTCTTTCACTTGGCCTGTGTGTGATTATTTGAAGGAACTGGGTGACCAAGATTCCAGAAAATGTGTGTGCGTGTAGTTAGAACGACATTTGTTTAAATTAGACTTGATGGAGGAGTGGGAGAATTTATACTTCTTTCTGTCGGATGAATTTTCAATGAAATGATAGTTCTTTCTTTCCTTTTTCATTTCTTATTGTTTTTGAAGCTATATTAGGTCAAAAGATCACACAGAACTATTTAGGGTATTTTTTGTGCCTAGCAAACTAGGACTATAGATACGTTCTTCCTAGTTAATTCTGTACATCGTCTCGAGCCCAATCAAAAGTCTGTGGCAGATTGTTTTAAGTGTTACAGAGAAATACAAATGCAAGATTTGATTAGGCTGCAATTATGACTAGTTAACTACACTTGCACACTGCACACATATCTACCAACTGAGCATAGATACTTTATTATTTTTTCCACTTCAGCCACTTGTTTCAATCCACAAACTTGACACTATTTCTGACTTGCTGCTTTTTTGCTCTGTGGTGCTTAATAGTAGCTTTCTTTTTAAAATTCCTTCTAATTATTTGTTCTGCTTGTTGCCTATTTCCTTTGATTTGTTTTCTATTTTGGTCCTTTCGAAGAATATGACCTCCTTCCTGGAATGACCAAGTTGACATTAAAATTTTGAATTAGTCTGTAATAATTGTTTTATATGAGTTAAACTCTGATGTGACATATTTATGCCCCTTTACATCTTCCAACCATTATGGTAACAGATATTTAGGAACACAAAAAATAATTACTCATTAAAACCATCTTCTCCTGAACTCAGTGAAAGTCAACAAAGCTCTAAAGAGATTGCATTGAGGAAGTAATGGGCGAATTCTCATGATAAAGTAGAGTTTCCTTATCCCTTTGTGTAGCCAAGTTCTAATTCAGAAAGTGATAAAGACTTCACACCTGGATTTAGATCTCTGGTATCAGAACCTATTTTTCCTAAAGCACTTTGAATTAATTAGGATATTTTTGTAATCTTCCCATTGGTCAAGTAGCTTGAATTTGATGGATAGATTTGTCCGGCAACTGTACTGTACTGGTGGGAGGTGGCGGGAGGTGGCAGGTGTGGACACCCTTACTAAACTGTTGTACTTCATTTTAAACACTTTTTAAAAGAGGTGCAACAGCAGGTATCTTGTGAATTAGTCGAGGTGCGCTCAATTTTGTTTGGATATTACCATTATCAAAAAAAAGGATTGAATCTTATATTTGTGACGTTGAAACTTCTGAAAGCGCTCTTATATTATTTAGTAGATGGAGCTTTTGTATACAGATTTTATTGTAAGTCCTCTTTGAGCTTTATCTCTCTGCTTTTGAAAAGTTGTGTGTATCCATGCTGCTAGTGTTCATGGTTGCTCCTTTATTTACTTTCATCTTTTTAATTTTATTTGAATTCAATATGGCTTCAATATCAGTTCTGATGTTGTGGTGTACCTAGAATCAATTAAGATGCTTGTAAATACATCTTTCTAATTTAAAATAGTGCTCCTCTTTTCTTAAGCTGTATGGGGTAGGTGCTGATGTGGGTGTTGATTGCTGTTCTCAATTAACAGAGAAATGTAAGATAACAGTTTCAACCTTTCAAAATAGAAAAAAATGTGTTTTATTATTAATGTATTAAAAGAAGAATCTTTTTTTAGTATTTAATGATAAAAGGCCTGGGAGAATTGTTGGAAACAAATTGAATGCTTCAGAGAGAAATTTGTTGGGCATTTAGTCGTTTTCTAAAATTTATATGTAAGTTGAACTGACAGACCAGATAATATTTTTTGGAGGTCATTTTTAAGGTGTAGTAATTTGTTGGATTTCAAGTGCAGTTGACTTAATTGTTCTACATATTTGTGATTTGGGTAGTATTCCATTGTGCTATCAGGAAAGGTTCAAAGAGTGGAGCATCTGGGAGATGTTATGGATGTCAAGGTACTGGAATGCGTGTCACAACAAGACAGATCGCTCCCGGAATGATCCAACAGATGCAACATGTTTGCCCTGAATGCCGAGGCTCAGGTAGTTAATGAAAATATTATGGTTATTCCGATATTCTTTGTGTTCCATGTTGAAAGAAGAGAAAAGTTGGTGGCGTCCCCTCTTCACCTATCCACAAGAAAAGAAAGAAAAAGGTAGGAAAGAGTTGGTAAATCCTCGAAATTTAATGTGTTGACGCAGGAGAGGTTATCAGTGAGAGGGACAGGTGCTCACAGTGCAAAGGAAACAAAGTTTCACAAGAAAAGAAGGTGCTCGAAGTAAATGTAGAGAAAGGAATGCAACATAACCAGAAGATAGTTTTTGAAGGGGAAGCAGATGAAGCTGTAAGTGTAGTTTGCTTTCTCATTCTGTTCTTTTTACCTGTTAAATGTGTTTCAAGATTTGTTGGGCAAAATTTGCAGAGAGAAACTCTAGTTCTTCTGTCTTAGTCTAGTCTATTTGAATAATGAATGAAGTCTGTGCAGTGCTTTTTAAGTGGAGTATATCACCTCCTTATATAATATATCAAGCTATTTGCTTCCCCTTTCCATTTTGTGTATTGCTCATTTCACTTTGACTGAGGACTTGTCTGTTCTTATATTTTAGTCTTATTGTTGTTCTGCAGCCTGATACCATCACTGGAGATATTGTCTTTGTTCTACAACAGAAGGACCACTCAAAGTTCAAGCGGAAGTTTGATGATCTTTATATGGAACACACACTTACTTTGACTGAAGCTCTTTGTGGCTTTCAGTTTGTCCTCACTCATCTTGATGGGAGGCAGCTTTTAATCAAATCAAACCCTGGAGAAGTCATAAAACCTGGTAAGCACCTTCTTCCTTTGTGCTGTTTGTGCGGTGCTTCCCGTGTGCTGTCATGTCAGGTATTGCAAAGCATTTATATTTTTCTAATTGTGGTGGTATCTGAGCCAACTTGCGGGCACCTCGACTATTGACATGGTACCTCCTACCAATACGGTACCCGGTAACTCTACCGGCCAAGATTTAGGCAAATGAGAAGAAATCACCTAACATTTCGTCTCTGGTGGAATTTGAACCCTGGTCGCCCCCGCCATGGTTTTCACCTACTTCATTGATCACTAGGCTACTGCACAGGGGATATAACCATCCTGTTGTGTTTTGCAGATCAATACAAGGCAATAAATGATGAAGGCATGCCCAGTTATGGCAGGCCTTTCATTAAGGGTCGGCTTTATATCCATTTCAATGTGGATTTTCCAGAATCAGGGGTTCTTTCCCCTGAGACATGCCGCGGCATAGAGACTATTCTGCCGGCAAGACCAGGGAAGAGCTCATCGGGAATGGAGTTGGATGAGTGTGAAGAAACTACTATGCACAATGTCAACATCGAGGAAGAAATGAGGCGCAAGGAGCAGCAACGACAGCAAGAGGCTTATGACTCGGATGATGATGAGCCAAACGTGCATCGTGTGGCCTGTAACCAGCAATAGGTTTGTAAGATGCTTGTATTTTTGCTCGTATCCCAAGTAATTTTTTGGCTATGTTTTTGCAGCAAAGGCCACTTACTATTTGCTTTAGGGATAATTATAAAGGAATTAGGCTTCCTTAGTTATGTTTTATGGTTTTTTGTTAATGGCATTTTGATAGCCGCTCACTTGGACTTGTGAACTTGCACTATATCTCACCATCCTTCTATAGCAACTAGTACATGAAATTGAAGTAATACTTTAGATGAGAAATCATCTGTTTACCTTTTAAATCCATAGCGTGATTAACCTCAGAGTCGCAGAGACCGAGGATTTGCTGTTGCGATCGTTGACTGTTGCCTTTTTCTTTTTTAGTTATTAATTTCCATTATAATATATTTTTCTTTATGAGGTGCAATTCATGGAGGTCCCTATTGTATTATCACATTACTGGAATGTAGCAACGTACCAATGTAACAAGGGATAGTTGAAGGGTACTCCATATGTTCTACTCCATTTATATAACACTATTTTTGTTTTGTGATATCTTAGAATGTTTGACATTATTCCATTCTAAACAACTAAAAGTTATTAAATTATATTCAAATTTTAGCATTTGAGGTGATTTTTTTTGCTTTGTTAACTCTATATTTAATAATTACTAGTATCTATAAACGTGTGTTGCACGTTAATAATGACACATGATGGTTTAAATATTTATTTATATGAAGGAATAATAAATTTAATTAATGAGAGCAATTTTATATATAATGCTACAACAATCATTTAAATATCGAAAAATATTGTTACATTAGCATAATACGTGAATTCAAAATGAAAGGATATCATTAGAACTTATGTAAATGATCAATTTTAGTTATATTAAGTAGATAATTATGTATTGTAGTTTAAAGGTATTTAATGCGCTGATATCTTATTGAATACTTCTTTATAGATAGTGTTTTGTTTGGTATATGTTTCCTTCTAATGCTTTGGTTACTCTGACATAACCAAAACTCTTGTTGTCGATATTTATATTTCTCTTGAAAGTGCAACATATAGTTATTTGTATAGGAAAATATATTGTGCTAAATTTAGTTCAATATTTAGGATGATTGTCCTTGTGTTTTGTTTATTATAACTATAAAATATAAATATACTGAAAATTATTTTCACACAAATTTAAAAGGGTATTCTTTAGTTTCGGAAGACGAAAGTTGAATTTGGGGATAAACACATATTTAGAAGCATATTGACCAGTATCATAAGTTCTGCATGTATGACATTATTGTCAAAACTTCAATAAACTATGTGTGTACTATTACATAAGCTATTCAGCGGATCTAATTTTTCAGTAGCATGACACACATATTTTTCTTCAAAATCAACCTATATGCAATGAAAGATCAATTTTAACTTCATCTATTATATATATGGTGACACTAACATACGTAAAAAATAATGAACTTGACAACAAACATGTACGGTAGAAGACCACTTGGTATTAAAGTATTTAAGTATTCTTCTTAGTAGTTATTGTAGGTATCATCTTCTGCTGCTGAGTCAAAACTCAAAAATATTTTGATTTTACCATAAAATATAGCAATCAACCTTTTATTTAGTTGATCAACATATTCATTTCAGCTAGCTAAGATAACTCTTTAATTTCTATCATGTAATTTGCACAAATTGTGTTTTAATCTAATGATGAATATATATATATATATATATATATATATATATATACATATATATTCCTTATTAAATGCACTACTATTACTATTGGGGTTGATAATCAAGTGTTATAGAAGAATTAAATCATCTTTTAATGGATGCTCTTATTCGTTTTCAACACGAAGCCAGAAGTCACCGAATGTTAGATCTGTTCTTACTTTTATATTTCTTGTCATTTGAATATTTTTCATTTGAGGTGATAAGTATAATTTTGGCAAGCTAGCTTTTACATTTTCTGCTTTGGTCAATTTTGAAACTACTAATCGTACTTGACAAAAATCACCTCCCAAACTATTACTTTTCCACCAAACGATTCATTGATATCCAATATATCTCTAAAACTCTAGGCGATTGTTTCGATCGTTTGACGCTTAGCCAAAAACGCTTCACCACATATTATTACTTTTGCTTTCCTTATAAATTTAGCACTATTGCTCTGATTGGATATATTTTTACGGTTATTTCAGTTATTTGAAGAGGTATATCAAATCTAAAGTGAGTTGTACGATATCATAATAAAATCGTTGCTGGTACACCATTTTCTCTTATTGCTAACAATATCATGCATCTTGATGTGATATTTGTAAGTAATCCATGACATAGAAATATTATTTCGATTCCGTAGGAGGCATCTACAAAGGATAATCCCGCTATACCAGAGTCGATTTTTTATAATATAGTCTTGAAAGTTTATTCTTGTTCAGGATTTAGCTTTGATTATACTTTCTCAAACACGTGTATGGCCTTCTTAATAATATACTATTTTTTTTACTTTCTGATCTATTTTTTTTAATCTCTAACACTCTTTTTATGGAATAAATTTAAGTACCCTAAGATTTTTTTTAAAACTTGAAAAATAATACTCATATGATGAATTTAAAAAATAATTTAATTGGATTCTCTTGCTAAATAATCAATGGAAAGATTTGATTATTTGGTTTTAACATAAAATATAATTTACTTTCTGTTGATTTAGATTCTTAATATTTGTTCATCTCATTTTTGATATTTAACCGTGATTATAATTTTATCCATCATAAATTTTACTTTTAAAGAGTAAAAAGATCGATAATATTCCACTTTTAGACCTTTATGTTTGCAAAATCATTAGTGGTATTGGCTCTTACCAACCTTTTTCTTTATTTTCTCAAACATTTATATTCTTAAAAATTTTCTTAGTTGTTCTTTAATAATTAGGTATATTTTTCTATATTATATGAAAAATTAATAATAAAATAATATTATTTGAGTAGGAAAGCAGTTCAAATATAATATAATAATATATTATCTTGAAATTTCCCCCCTCTATTTTAACGCTTTATGCAGTCCGTTTAGCATTATTTTTTTATTGAATATTATAGAGTTGTAATGTATTACCAATATGGAGGATTCTTATGAAATTGATTTTATTAAACCTTCCTATATATTTTTAATAAGAATTCAATAGATAAGATTGTATTAATTTTAAAATATTAAATACTAAAAAATTAACATAGAAGTTATTGTAGTTCAAGAAAAAATAAGTTATTACAGCTATGTCATTTCCCTATGAGTTCTTCAATTTAATATTTTAGAGCTATTTTGGTCTATCAATATTATATTCGTGCTTTTATAATCATAGATAGACTTTCCTGTTTTTAAATAGATTTGGACAATATAATACATTTTCAAATTAATTAATAATAAGAATTTTTTAAGAAGTATATCCTAAAAGTAATAGGATTACAAGGCTAATATCTATTCCCAAAAATAATTATACTAATAGGATTCCTAAAGGTAATCATGTAGGATTCCTAACGTGTAGTATTATGTCCTAAAACTAATAGGATTATAAGGCTAATGTCTAGAATTCCGATTATGTCCTTTTATTATGAATTATTATGCTTAATATTAAAAGGTTATTTTTGTAATCCAACATTTTATTCATGCTTTTATAATAACATAGATATAGATTTAAATATTTTTCCAGTTCCACTAATATCATATTACAGGCTAGAGATTGACGAGTTTTATAGACTACAAAAGAACGGGAGAAATTCAAGAATATCCATATTTACAAGTGGTCATTCAAAAATAGCCACAGTTTCAAAAGTAATAGAAATTTAGCCACTTTTCATGTAAAGATAAATCTGAACGAAAACAATGTTCAAAATTCGAAAAAATACTCCAGTATAATATACTGGAGATTGAAGGTGCTTCAATCTCTAGTATATTATACTGGAACTTTCCGCATGTATGCTGGAAGTTCATACACAGTTGCATCAATCTCCAGTATATTATGCTGGAATTTTTCGTGTTGCAGCAAAATAGTGGTTATTTTTCAACGACTTTGTAAATGTTGGCTATTTTTTATGACCAGTCCGAAAATTAGCTAACCCGTGCTATTTTTACGAAAAGAACAACTTATTTGTTTACGTAATTTACTTTTTCATACAAGAAAAATATCCTATGATTATTATTTCATGCTAATAAACAAAAAAAAAAGGTTGTGGGGAAGGGAGAACATGCCAGCTATAGCTCACAAAGGAATGCCACAAGATAATAGGCAAATGAGCTTTGTTCGTACAAATATGAGAGGGAAAACAAATGATCTTGATTCATCTAAATGTCAACTTCAATTTAAAGAACCAATTATTGGTGCATTTTAACACTTTGATGCAAAGAAATTTATGACAATAAAAGCCCTTTTTGCTACTCCTATTTAGCAGGCAAAGTGGACCACTTCATATTAATAGTACATGTCGAATTGTTTAGCTCATTAAATTCAAGAAAATAATTGACGTAGCTTTCTGGAAAAAAATAGAAAGGTGCATGTATATTGTCGATGCTACATACTTTAACCAATCGAGAGCTTCTTTTAAGGAGACTACATTTGTGGCCATTGGTGGAGTTGCATGCATTTTTTCATCTAGTTTTTATTTTTCATAGAGTATGACTGCACCCATTCTTTTACGCTCTACGTACTAAATATATACTCCTATGATACAACAATTTTAAGATACTGTGTCTCTTTTAAGGTCAAGGAATTCTATTAATAACTGGTCTATTTTATCCTTTAGAAAAATCCTATCGTCTATCGATAGCTTGCTTAGTACAAAAAAACACATCTTACCATAGTTTAGGAGTGCAAGTTACAAATTGAATCAATTTTTACGTAGGTTTTATGCATTATTCCGAAAATAAAAGACCATGAAAGGAAAGCAAAAAAGTGGAGTAGTTCACTAGGTTTTGGTGGATAGCAGAGTGGCAATTTTGCTAAAAACGTTTCTATTTTTATTAAGCCCTTTTCTCTAAGTTCCACACCCTTTCCCTTTCCTTTTCAAACAGTTTTTAACAATCCAATCATCCACTAATTAAGTGGCAAACTTTTTGAAGAAGTCGTATCATAACGTGCACCATTTGTTTTGAGTCTGAAATGATGTATCTATTTTGAATCACTATTAATTGTTGCAAAAAGGGATGGATCATTTATATTCTTTCCCCAAACATTTAAAAGTGCATCTATCCTAATGCCAAACAGCTCCTAACACTATAAATGATCATCATTTCTATATATATATACATATATATAAGTAGATTTTTTCGAAAGTTTCTGAATTCTAGAGAATCA